CCCTACACAAGTTTTAGCCCAGGGGTATTCTATTTTAAACAGTTTCTGTGTTCCTGCATCCTACACAAGTTTTAGCCCAGGGTATTCTATTTTAAACAGTTTCTGTGTTCCTGCACCCTACACAAGTTTTAGCCTAGGATATTCTACTTTAAACAGTTTCTGTGCTCCTGCACCTTCCATAAGTTTTAGTCCAGGGTATTCTATTTTAAACAGTTTCTGTGTTCCTGCACCCTACACAAGTTTTAGCCTATGGTATTCTACTTTAAACAGTTTCTGGAGAACTGTGTTCCTGCATCCTACACAAGTTTTAGCCCAGGGTATGTTTGTTAAAACAAGTTTCTTAGAACTTTAAAAGATATTTCAACCATTTATCATGACAATCAACAGCCTTGTTTATATCCACATCCTCAAGCCTTTTAATCAGATTTTAGTTCAGTTTTTTTAGTCAGTGAAATGATTAACTGTTACGAAATGGGATAAAGCATTTCATAAACAGAGAATTAACTAAAATTGTTCAAGTGTTCCAGGAACCTCGTAAGATTGAACCGCTGATCAGTAATCAACTTGATTTGAATTAGCTCGTAAATGATGCTTAAAAGTATTTTGACACAAGCAATTATTTGGGGAAAGCTTCTGTGTAATTCACCAATAAAGATACTTGTCTAGTATAAAAAAAAATTCCATCTTCACATTTTTACAATTAAAGTTATGAAATGTAAAGAAAAACTGAACATGAATGTTGACTCAGAGTGGACTAAACATTAATGTAAGTAAGAAATATTACTACTCAAACTGAAAATTGTTTTTTTCACTTTAAAACAATGAGTAATTCACACACCTTTTTTGGGTAGTTGATTGATATCAAGCATTCTAGTGAATTTATTCATATAAAACAAAATAAGCATTATAAAAAGCTTAAACAGGCAAAAATGAAACCATCAATTCAAACAGTGCTTTCTATCATACCAGAAGGAAGCCACGTCCCTCTTTTCTTGTTCTCCTTCTGTTCTGACTAATAATAGTTACTTACCTTTTCTTGGCTCACTTAGCGTACTGGTATCATCGTCACCGGTGGTGCCACCTTGTGACTCACCTCCTTCCCCAACGTCGCTCTCACTTTCTGACTGACTGTCACTGCTGCTTGAACTATCACTTGTGTCACTACTTGTCTCTGACTGATGATCTGTATCGCTCCCTTGATCTTCTGCGGAAACAAAATCAAAATATGAAACTATCACTACTTGTCTCTGACTGATGATCTGTATCGCTCCCTTGATCTTCTGTGGAAACAAAATCAAAATATGAAACTATCACTACTTGTCTCTGACTGATGATCTGTATCGCTCCCTTGATCTTCTGCAGAAACAAAATCAAAATATGAAACTATCACTACTTGTCTCTGACTGATGACTTGTGATAATAAGAAACTTTTAACTTGTTCTAAAAAGCTACAAGGAAAATGTTATTAATATACATGACCTGTTTGGTATCATTTCTCATGCACTCTTTATGATCTCACTTTGTCACTGTCGATCCTTGATGAAAGATTCACTACACATGATTAAAACTGATACTAATCAAATGTTTTATAGTTGTGTCTAAAACTCACTGATCACGAGTTAAAGCTGAAATACTCAATTATTGTTCATCATTAATTAAAACCAAAACCGGCAGTTTCTATCACAAATCAACAAATAATTTGAAAACTAATTTTGTAATGTAGGTTTCAAAGCATTCTGCAATACTAAAACATGATAAAAATACACTGAACATACAAGACAGTTTCATTCACAAATCAATGCCCCAAAGCTTCCTGGTGATTGATCCATGCTCCCCAACCTTGAAGGGATGCGTCCATGAACAAATGTAGATCCGGACATGAGGGGTAAATGGCATGCCCTTTGACGTGTGAGCTTTGTGCAGCCACCAGTGCAGATCGTATCTCAGGGAAGGGAGATGGGGGAGGAAAGAGAATTCCGAGCAAGGTTCCATCGTTCGTGAAGCACCCATTGTAGGGATCTCACGTGGGCACAACCTAGAGGGACAAGTGCAGTCATGGAGGACCACATCCCCAAAAGCGATAGAATCTTGCGAGCAGTAATTGCCTAAGCGAGAGGGCATGTTGAAATTAAAGTTCCATGAACGTAAAGGAGAAGGCAAAGCTCGACTGAGATTGGTGTTGAAAAAGACCCCCAAATGGATGAGATATTGAGTGGGTTGAAGGAATGACTTCTCCAATTTGATCAACCAGCCCACCCGAGCTGCCACAGAAACGAGTTGGTGAGTATGATGAACAGTCAGAGCATGAAGATGATGAACAAATGCCCGTATTATGCGACAAAACACACAGGGATCTGATGCAAGTCTGAAGGGAAGGGCTCAAAATTGGTAAAGCACCCCGAGATGGACAAATCAAAAATAAGTTCTAGACTGCTGGGCTATTTGGATGTGGAGGTAAACATTGGAGACATCAATTTTCGTCATCCACAATCCTGGTGAAAATGACCATCTCATGAGAGAAAAGACTCCATGGTAAACTTCGGGAGTGGAATGAAGCGGTTGAGGAGAGATAAATCGATAATCGGCCGCCAATACCCGGTTTTCTTGGGGACCTCAAAAACACGGGAATAAAAAACCCCGGAAGGTTGGTGAACCAGTTTGATAGCCTGTTGCAAAATCAAATCTTAAACTGCCTCAGACAGATGCTAGCTTGCCATGGGATCTTGAGGAATAGGAAAGGAAACAGAGGGAGGTGAAAGAAACTGGATAACAAATCCTTCTGACAGAATCCGTATCACCCATTGATCTTCGACGAAGAGATGTCAGTGAGGAATCCTTCTGACAGAACCCGTATCACCCATTGATCTTCGATGAAGAGATGCCAGTGAGGAATCCTTCTGACAGAATCCGTATCACCCATTGATCTTCGATGAAGAGATGCCAGTGAGGAATCCTTCTGACAGAATCCGTATCACCCATTGATCTTCGACGAAGAGATGCCAGTGAGGAATCCTTCTGACAGAATCCGTATCACCCATTGATCTTTGACGAAGAGATG